CATGGCACGAACCGGTACTAAAGGTCTAACCTTTAGTACCGGTTCGTGCCATGAACCGGTACTAAAGGGGTCTGACCTATAGTACCGGTTGGAGACACAAACTCTACCCCCCGGATCGCCTTTTCAGTTTTAAAAAAATAAAAGAAAATAATGGAAATGTCAAAAAAATAAAAGAAAATAAGTTTCTCATGTGATATGTGGTCTAGTTGTTGGGAAAATTTGCAAATGTGAATTTTGACTTTATTTGCAAAATCTCTCTGAAATTTGTAAAAATGGGCATAACTTTTGCATACTAATTCGGATGAAAAAGTTTTTTATATGAAAAATCATCTACTCGAAAAGTTACATCCAAATTTAACCGGGGAACCCCGTTAAACATTTTCAAAATCCTCAAAAACCTAATAGAAAAAAGTTACGGGGCTTTTAAGATCTAGAGTGGAAAAAATTGAAAAATATTCAAACAGTGGGCAAACTGTGGTCAAACAATGGTCAAACTAATTATTCTAGAATATTAGGGTTACTAAATAATTATTTTAGTTATTTCAATTTTGGTCAAACCGTGGTCAAACTAATTATTCAAGAAATATTAGTGTTACTAAATAATTATTGTTTTTTAAAACAATAGTTTCAAACTCAAACAGTGAAATGTGTCACTTCATGCTCAAGAAAAATTCCTGAAGGTTAATAGAATTGACATCTTACTATTGTCAGGAAAACAACAAGTGCAGACTCGGAAACGAAGGAGAATAGAACCTGAAAGTTAAGCGTGCTCGGGCTGGAGTAGTGAGAGGGATGGGTGACCGGTCGGGAAGTTAGATAATTTGGAATGAGTGATCCACACTTGAGCAGTTGAGAGAGGTGATTAGAGACTAAATCATCAAATAATTCAAAAAAATTAAAAATAAAAAAAAATAAAGGTACTAAAGGTCCCCTGTACCAGGGCGCGAGCTCACGCCACGTGGTGGCACTTTAGCGCCGGTTCGTGCTGAACCGGTACTAAAGGGGGAGCCTTTAGTACCGAAACTTTAGTGCCGGTTCCATAACCGGCACTAAAGGCCCTTACAAACCGGTACTAATGGTCCGTTATCTACTAGTGTGCCTCCCCCTTTTGCTCTCCCTCCGCTCCGCTTTTTTCCCTCTTATATATACAGCGCCCCGACGACCACCCGCCACCCATCGCCATTCCCCACACGCTACCCGGCCGCTACTCAGTCTCAGCTCCACCGCCGCCCCCAACCTCGCGATGGCGCCCAAGCGGCCGCTGGAGGCCGTGCCGACGGAGCAGGAGGGACCGCGGTCCCCGAGGAAGCGGCTGCGCCGGACGGTGCTCCTCATGATGTGGCTGTGAGTACCCTCACCTACCTCACCTAGCCGTTCGCCTCCTTGTCTCGCTTCCTTGATTTGAATTTTGAACTCACCGGCTGCGCCTGCTTCATTCGCGCGGATCTGCGCCGCAGGGAGAGGAGGAGTGCGAGACCGGTCACCGTCGAGCAGCTGGCGCACATGGTTCGCCAGGTGAGGCCATTCCTCTTCGCGGCTCCACCCGGTTCCCCTCCCTCTCCGCATTTTGATTTTGTTTTCCCCCAGTCGTCTCCTCCTCCTCGCTGTGTGTGTGTTTGGTTTTGTGGCGACCGACAACTCACGGAGTTTGGCGGTGGGTTTTCAACTGTTTATGCAGTTCACGGGGCTCGCCGCGCGGCTTGGCTCCATGGAGAGGCTGCTCCTCGACCTCCCCAACATAATCCACAGATTGTTGGCGGAGCAGCTTGCTTCTTTTCAGTTTCAGAGGTACGTAGACATATTTATGTTTTGCAAGCGCACGTGTCCATGCCACAATTCAGATGTCCGAATATACTAGGAATTAGCGCATTTTATTTTACGAAACTAAGGGAGTGATAATTGAAGTCCTGGTTTGCTTTCTGAGAACTGCCAGTTTTATCCTGTGATGAGAAATAAAATATCCATCTTTGTGTCTTTCTTTTTATGATGACAAGATTGTTGTTGGAAAGCAAATTGGATGTAATAAGATATTATATTATGGGATGGAGGGAGTACTTTGGAATGTTGTGGATGTGATGTGATGGCTTGATGCTTCCTTGGTTTAATTAATTAATTAATTAATCTTATCTCCTGTTGTGTATTGTTTTGCATCCAACAGTTCTTTGATCGTATCCATACAAGATATGATTCGGTCAACGGTACAGACAGAGGTTAGAGTCTGGATCTTCATCCGTGTAATATATTTTGCATATCTGTACCTGCACTTTATCCCAACTCAATGTTGCTACGTCATGTAATAGAAGGAGGGACGACAAGCAGCTCCGCTTCCTACTGTCATTAATGACCCTCCTAGGTATCTGCCATTTTTTCCTTCTTATTGTACATGTTTTTTATTTATGTCTTTATTCTTACTGTCAACTCAAGTATTTGCTTTCTACATAATCTGGGAATTTTCCTTTTGTTACTATCTCACTCTCATCTTATTTAAAAATTTAGGCAGATGTCAGAAGGTTTTCCTGAAACTGGAGGCATCTCTAGAGTCAAGCTGCGGTTTGTCGATGTTGACAGACCAAAAGATCCACTTTTCACTGGTTGCCCAGTAAAATGGCAGAATGGAAGAAACGCTAAGGTAGCGATATTTGGAAATGATAGGCAAATCACACAGGGCGACCTTTCTAAATTGAAAATTGAGATTTTAGCAGTCCATGCTGATTTCTTTACTGAGCAAGGACAAGAGGACTTCACCAAAGAGGAATTCAACAAGCAGATATATATGCACAAAGGGAAAGAGTCAGTCTTGAAAACTGTTAATCTGCCGAAAAAGGGTTTCCCCCCGCTTTGTATTACAAAGCAACAACATCGATACAACCCACGATAGGTGCTGGGGCGGAAGCAGCACAGGCACGCCCAAAAGAAAAAAAGAGAAAACACAAAAGGAAAAAAAAATGCCGACAACGGCGGATCAACAAAAACGAAGATGACTCGCCACCGCTGCGCCCGCCGGAGAGATCCACCACGCTCCTAGCACCACGAAACGCCGCATACCAAATAACACCTTCAAGAAGGAACGCGACGACAACGACGCTGCTACCGGACATGGCCTAGGGTTTCCCCCGGTACGCGAAGGGCCGTGGGAGGAAGGGGGATATCCGACGCCCTTCAGGAAGGCACGGCGACGCCCACGGGCGTCACCGTGTCGGTGCCGAACAAGCCGACAAGGATTTCTCCCAACCTCCTACCAACCACGACCCCAGACGATCCATCGCGCTCCACCATACTTGCCGTCCACCAATATGCGCCACCACGGACACGCAGTCACCATCGCCGTCTCACCGTGACAAGCGAAGCGAGACCGGCGGGATCGAGAGGAACCAACCGAAAACGAGGAGCAGCAGGGTCAGCGGCCACGTGGGAGGGGACAACCTCCACCACCCTCGGCGGTGACCGACCGGACGTAGCTCAGGAGCAAACCAGGCACCCCTGACTGGCCGAGCCCGAAGCGGGCTCGTGAAGCTCCCGTCGCTGCGCTGCAGTACACGCGCCACCGTCTCCGCCACCCCCAGCCCAAGCCACACCTCCGTCCGCCGGAGATGACGCCGGAAAGCACACGCCAGGCCCACCCAGACCCAGATGGGGCCCAAAAGGGCCCAGATCTGGGCCGGAAGGGCGCCGCCGCCAGCCACCGCGCCGCCCCGCAGCCAAGCAGCCACGCCACCGCCACCATGCCACCCGGAGCTGCGCCGCCTGCGAAGACAAGCCGCCACCGGATCCGAAGCCGACCTGGGTGCACCGCCGCCGGCGCCAACGCCCGAGCTACAGCGCCGCGCGGGGAGGAAGAGAACAGGGCCGCCGCCGCCGGCATCACGCGAGCCAGGCCCGGTGGCCTACGCCGGCGGCGGCGGGAGGGGAAAGGAGGAGGGGGGGCGCTGGGAGGGGCAGGGAAGGGGAGCCCCCGGCCGCCTCGCTCGGGGAGGCGACGCGGGGGGTACGGGGGAGGAGGGGAGGGGGAGGAGGAGCCGGGGCGCGCCCGCCGGCGGCCGGGGGCGGCGGGAGCGGGGGAGGGCGGCGGCGGCGGAGGGAAACCCTAGCGGGAGCCGCTCGTCCTGCCCGCTGTATGTTTTCCGGATCTTAGTATTTCCGGCCTTGTCATTTAATGGTGCTCGTGTTGAAAAAAAAAACGGTGAGGCATATATTGGTCCCTTCTCCTTTACAGAGAGCTCCCAGAGGAAAAGGTTAAGGTTGACAGCACGAGTGAAAAGGCAGGTTCATACTACCAGAGTTCAGGAAGCAATCAGCGATCCTTTTGTTGTCAAAGACCGCCGAAGCGAATGTGAGTATATCCAGTTATCCATTCTGAGCACCATTTTTTTTAACTATATTGCATTGGAAATTTAATACACTGTGTAATTTGCTCATTCGTGATGGAGGCCTCCATGTTCTTCTATTTTTTACTTTTTGCTCATTCAATGAAACATCTATTGTTTCCCATAGTTAGCTGAAGAACACGTTCGTCCTTTAAGTGGCTGCCAGGCTAATTTAAGTTAAAAAAATGTTCAAGCACATATCATATCTTCCATAAACTTTTATGGCCTTCTGAGTGACATTATTTCATATGAAAATATGATGCCTTAGCACTAAATGTTCTGCTTTTAGAAGGGAATGGCTTGTTCCGTCACAAAATTTCTGTAAAGTAATGTCTATATGCATATAATATCCTAAATACACACTGACAGTCAAAACTGTATGACCGCCTAGGTGCTAGGCGAAGGCCAACCGCCTAGCGGTACTTTGGATCTGACAAAATTATACTTCATACCTTGGATTTGGGATTACACTTTTCTTTGGTCAATACAGATCTTATTTTGAGTTGTCTATTAGGTCGTAGATTAATACTAAGCATGGTAAATCGATTTGTAGTTTACCATGTACATCAATCCTTTTCTCAGTGCCATTACCATCAGATGCAATGATACCCAGAATGAAGCAATTGCATCTTAGAAATCTTATTTTAACATATCACAGTTTAGCAGTTGATAGTCACTGAAATAATAGTGCTGGCGATTACCTTCATGTATTCTGTTACAGCATAAAGTGAACAACTGGAAAAAGTCTGCGTATAAGAAGTTTGACGAGCGCGAGAGGTCAGGGCATCTTACCCCTGATTACTTCATGATCAATGGCCGCCCAGTCCGTGCAGTGCCCCATGATGCGGGTCCTTCGGTACAAGGTACAACAACATGACAAATTTAAATATTTTGTTCCATTGCGCTACATGCATGTTTCTCTGAATTCAACTTATTGCAGAATTTGGTGATCGACGTCCATTGAATGGGTGCTCACAGCCGGCAGTCCTGTCAAACAACGACGCTGGTCCTTCAAACCAAGAAACGCTGCCGTTTTCGCAGCCCACATATGAACAGAGTGTGCATCAAGGTCAATACTAAACACCTGCATAATTTTGCATCACGCATCCTCCATACTGTTCCTGTTTCATCGCTCGCAAGAAAATTATTTTTGAAATGAGCATCACAGGAAGTTATTATTAGTGTTGATTCTGATAGTTTTGGGGATCAACCTGCTGTAGGACTTGACCAGCACGATCCTTGTACGTCACAGAGTGTATCTCCTTACTATCTGGCCCAGGGAAATTTCATAAATGATCAGGGACAGGGATCATTTTCAGCAGAGCCAACTATTCCGTCCCACATTCTTGCACCAGTAAGTAAAGTTACAATCAACAATTCTATCCCACAATTTTTCATTGACAACCTGAAATATTTCTTGGATGGTAGGTTCCAGAGGATGACCCGATCACATTCACAGCTGCAAGTCTAACTGGCCAACAGAATGGACACTTCAGCTTCTCGACAACTAATGCTCCTGGTACTTCTTATCCTGCAGCAGGTGTGATTGTTGTACCCGGTTTTTCTAATTTGACAGTATATGCAGTGTGCTTGATCATCAATACTCAAATCGCTTCTCCATTATGCAATGTTGGGTGCTGAAGGTGTTGCTGGGACTTCCTCAGATGGAGTTAGTCTGGGAACCTCTTCACCTAACCATGTGCAGACTGACATCCTCAGTGGGTTAACTCCGATTGAAGTATGTTTTCTTCAATATGTCATGGGAATTAATTATTCTTAAGAACATAACAATACCATCACGATTTTTTTTTTGGAAAAGGGGATAGCCCTGGCTTCATCATCATGAATTATATTATGGAAGTTGTTTTTCCCCTTCTCTATGTGATGATGAAATTTGTTCTTGCAGTTCCAGGTATGGCTAGAACTACAAGCAACTTTGGTAGACCAGGATTTTGCACAAACTAACAGCGGTATGTGATATTTAAGTTACCTTCTCTTGTGGTAACTTCTGTTGACAGTTAAGCTGCCACAAAAGTTCTCTTCAGTCAGAATTGTTTCTGACTTCCAGACTAAGATAAGATGATAGCAAATTAGTGTTTATACCTACAGAATAACTGCTGACTACCAAATTATTGAAATGTTGTCTCCTTAAAACTTAAAATTAGGTGTTAATCTAAGATCTTCCTTTTGTTCCATGTCGCAGAACTGCTGAATTCCGACAGCCAATTTCATGGTTTTGAACATGACAGACGCGACCGCTGACTAAACATGAAGCAACTGCAACAGGCTGTCCTCTACCATAGTCAAGTATTCAGTGTAACTAAATATTTGGTTGTAGATATGAATAATTTGTAAATAGCAACACGTATTTTTTCAGATTGCTCCATATATGCTAAATTTGCTCCTGTTGCAGTAGACATATGTCTTGTACTATTCTTAAAGAGCAACTGTTAGAGTACATAATGGGCCTAATGGACCCGTTAGTCTTAGGGTTAATTAGAGATAAGAGTCGCTTTCTTAGGGGTCAAGTAAGCCTTGCTTGGTAGTCAAGTAAACCTCTCTATATAAAGAGAGGAGATGTATCAATCTAATCAAGCAAGAATTAAGAAGGAAATCCCTTTCATCTTGCCCGGCCGTGGGCAAAAGGCCCCCGGCCGGCCCTCTCGCGCCCTCCTTCTAGCAGCGCCATAACAATTTGGTATCAGGTAGCTCAGTTCCGATCATGTCTTCGTCGCCTCCCACCCCGTCGCTTTCGCTGCCGACTGTCACCACCGCGCCTCTGGCCATCTACACCGCGCCGCTGCCCTCCCCGTCCGCGCCGCTGGTCGCATCCTCCGGCGCCGCCACCGCCCAGATGTCGGCGCCCTCCACCGCATCACCGTCCGCCGTCTACACCCCGGAGGAGATCACCGGGGTCCTCAACGACCTCGTCACAGCCGTCCAGGGGATCCGACTGTACCTGGCCAGCCCCTACGGGCCGCCGCCGCCCCTGCCGCTGACCGCCGCCACCGCCGGGCTGCCGGCCCTGCCGTGGTACTCGCCGCATCCAGGGGCCTCCGCGGCATTCGCTGGGTCGCTACTGCCCCAGCTGCAGCTGTCGCCCACCGCCGCCCCGCAGTGGCCGGGGCCGGCTCCTGCCACGCCTCCAGCGCCCATCGCCGCCCCCGCGCCGCCGTGGTTGCCGT